AAACATGGCTAAACGCAGGTGACTCTGCCCCTCTTATTGAACCTCCCCCCCTAACTGCTCTTTTTTAAATCATCCCAGATGATCTTTCAGAGGGGGAGGACTTGCTGTAATTATAACAATGACCAGAACTGTTCGATAGTATCTGTGGGTAACTTTTCCTCATTTGAGTCGTTGTGTTTTTATATTAAGATTCTGTGCATTTTAATATACAGACCCCCTAAATCTGTGTCTTTGGTTTCCTCCATCAGTTCTCTGAGTTGCTTTCTCTAGTTATTCCAGACTATGACCGCATTCTGTTTGTAGGAGACTTTAATATGCATGTCTGTTGCCATGACAACCATTTAGCTAATGAGTTTTCAACCATTTTAGAGTCTTTTAACTTAACTGCATCAAATTTTAGTTGCTGTATGTCACAACGTCATTTTGCGACAGGTTTCAGTCGTTTTATGTCACATTTGGGCAACTTGGTTTCCCTTTTTGGTCATTTTTGTTGTATTTTGGATGTTTAGCTGCTTTTTTTTTTTCTCAGTTTTCATCACATTTTGTTGGTTGCAGTGAGTTTGGTCACAGCTCCAAGACGCCAGCGCCTTCTGATGGTTCCCCTGTGGAAGGGTTTCCGTGGCCACCTGACATACAAGGAGCACAGGAGAAGAAAGCTGGAAGGCAGCGCTGCAGGCAGGTCTTCATGTATCAGACGAGGTGTTGGGAGGACAGACAAGAATCTACAATCAGACAAAAAGCTGACTGCTGCTCAACAGGGAGCTCCAACAAACAACCAGAACCTCCCAAACAAACAAGATGTGTGGCGAGGTGATGTGTTTGGTCGCTGTTTCCATTCCAAGGTTTGTAACAGGATGAGGTTGTCAGCACTGAGCACCTGTGGTGAACTGATGAGCAATCTTACGTTGATCCTCGGGCTGGTCGCAGTGTTCGGAAATCCTCCCAAATACAGTCTGTTGTCTACGTCCAGCGGGTTTCCTTTGACTGAGACGGAGTCCGGACCTGAACCGTTGATAGACACCGACCGCCGGCTCACCTGAGAGACAGACGCCACAACGTACCAGATGTTTGTCCATGATGTCAGATGTTTGTCTGTAGTATCAGTACTAATTATTCAATTAAACTTTGTTTGTATAGCTCAGTTTACAACATGTGTCATCACACAGCGCTTAACATAATCAGGTATAGACCTCACAAGTTTCAACAGACTTAAACTTGGCAGAGGTCATAAAGCAACAGCTCCTGAGCTCCACATTAGTGTGAACAGACATGAACAGCATTGATGGATGTGATAAACTGGACTTTATTCAGGCAGAACGGATCAACGTGAACATCCTGATGGACAGTGATTGACCCACACTGATCACGTCTGAAGCTTCGTTAACGAGCTCACTGTCATTAATCATCATCAGCACAGAGTTCCATCCATTAAAGAGATCATTAAAGATGCTCAGAGCTGCTTCTGCAGCAGCTTCATGAACTAGAACATGGTTTTATACATAAAGTCAACTCTGTCCAGTTGATCACATCGATCAGTTATTGATCTATTAATGCTGCAGCTGTTGTTGCTTTCTATTGATTCCTATAGAAATAAATACATTTAGAATTTCATCATTTACCTGTAAAGTCTTCATGTTGATCCTTTGTGTCCAAACTGATACAGAAATCATTCCCACTGTCAGAATGTAGAAAACAGAGAAGCTGTGAGGCACCAAATGTCCTGAATAGTTCTTAGATCTTCTCTGTGTTCAGACTCGCTGCACTTCCTTCATAGACGACATGCTTTTCACTCTGATTCTATTCTGATGAGTCGTTTTAAATACAGACAAGTGAAGCGACAGAAGACGGACTCTGAAATATTCATGAAATCTCTGCTGACCCTGTAAAGTTGGACTGAACTGATCCATCATCTGCTGTTTGGTCTGAACAAGAATCCAGATGATAGAAGATGCAGCTGACTGGAAACAGTTCACAGCTGGATTCATTAAATCCACACAAATAAAACTGAAACTTACATGAAACTGAATTCAAGATTTGAATCAAGTAAACCTTGAACTAAATCATTTATTTACTCAGTGAACCATCCCTTCATCTGTTCCCTTAAAACGACCTGAATGATTCAATTCAGCTGTAAAGTATCATTAATGGACATTTAACTAACTACTAGAATTCCAGTGATGATAAATGGAAATAAATATTTAAATGTGTAAAAAAAATTGGTTTATTTTGTTGGTATTTTTTTTAAAGTTTGTCCTGAAATTAATCTATAAACCAACAGAAAATTATTGATGTTTTGCAATGAAGATAAATCAAAACCAATTTATTATAGTTTTTGATCTACTTCGGTTTATCTCTTTAAAAGCCTGTAAACTGTGCAAAAAATCAAATGTATACAAAAGACATCATTTAACTTCATCCAGTAATCATCCTCCTAGAATGTCATTAAAAGCATCTTCATCATTTTAATGGTTCGTTCTAGATTCCTTCAGGGAACAATTCAGGGATTCAAACTTCTCAGCAGAATCATGTCCAGTCGGGTAAATGTTGAAACTCTGAGTTTGCTTCTGATGATTTTATTAATCTGGTGATTGGATCTTCAACTGACTGTGTCGCTGTTAAAATGATCAAACATACATGATGCACATGAAGGAAAGTCTGATGCGGATCGATAACTTGAAGGTTTATCAGGAAACATACATGAGTGACTAATATTTGTATTAAATATGTTCATGTGTATAAAGTATGTTGGACATATAAAATGTGTGTCTGTTTAAATCCATGAGGTCCATCTGCATGAACACATATCATCCATGGCTTCTGTTTCCAGCTCTTCTTCTGCAGCCTCAAACTAACATGATCTCATATTGCTATTACTATCATTATTACTACTATTATTATTATATACTTAAATCCCTATCTTTTTATATATAAATATAAATATAAATATATACATATACATATATATATCTTTTCTATATTCCCGCCATCAGAAGCCCATTTTTCATATTCTGTTTTGCACTACTCTCCTTGTTTGCACTATTTCTTATATTTATATGTACATTTTTTATTTTTATTTTTTCCTGTCTCGTATATGTGTAAGTCTGTTGAATGCTGCTACCAACGATGTGAATTTCTCCACTGTGAGATAAATAAAGGCATATCTTATCTTATCTTATCTTATCTTATCTTATTGATGCATCAGTCACTACACGGTCTGTGCCCTCTAGTGGCCACAGGCGGCAACTGCAGCCGATGTCAGCGAAAGTCAGCGGCATTATGGAGAAGCTGCACTTCCTGCTAATTCTGCAAAATAAAAGCCCTACGAGCTTTGATCTTTTTTTTAGAACAAAGAATTACGAGATGACTTTTTTAAGGACCGTCGATGTAAACGAACTGTAACTATCGTTATCGCGCTTCTCAACTTGCTTTAAATATCTCCTGTCGTCGTACAGTCCAAACAGTAAAGGAATCTATCTAATTAATTATGAACTTACCACCGCATCCTGGAGTGAGCGGGAGAGTTGGCCGAGTTAGCAGTAGTGCTAACGAGCTTCTCCTCTGCCACGGATTGTTAGCGTCACAGCAGCAGCTTTCACAACAAGAGACACAGACGTAGTTCCGTTTCCGTTCGAGCTGTGATGTTGGTCTGTGAGCGTCTGACGTCCTCGTAGTGAATCCACCTGTTCACTGAGCTGCAGCTCCAACCGCAGCCTGATGGAGGACCACAGGCAGAGCAGCAGTTGGTTCCGCCCTCTAGTGGCCACAGGCGGTGACTACAAGGACAAGTTGGAGAGATTACAGCTGAGCCACACTTCCTGTTGACCCTTCAACGTAAAACCAGCATACGGTTATTGTTTTAACGAAATTATTACAGCGTGATGTTGGAAGACTCAGAAGGACCGCCGCTATAAGCCAACCGTCTCTAGCTTCTCTACTGAATAGTTTTACTGCAGTCAAAGTAATTTATAAACGGAAATGAATCCATAATGCAGCTAATTCCAACCTGCATCCGGTACCGGAAGTGTTAGCCGAGCTAGCCGTAGTGCTAACGAGCTGCTACTAACACGGATGATTTTATTAGGTAACATAAGTAGCTTTAAATTACATGTGGGGGAGATAGAGTTGTAGTTGTCCTTTGGTTTCAGTTGTAATGCTGTACTGTGGGATTGTGTGACCTGATAATCAGCTTCTTAACTGGGGGCTGCTAACCAGAAAGCTGCAGCTACAACAATCATCTGATGTGATCTTCTCATCCTTGTAGAGAACGTTGCATCTTTTTGTAATCCCATTAGCTTCTGTTGTTCTATATTGGATGTAGAACAGCTTAATTTACGCGAGAGATACTTTCGAGTCTTTCAAACGTTGTAATACTTTCAGTAAAACAAACGACTCGATGATTTTACTCTGAAGGAGGGAAATAGGAAATTTTACGTCGCTGAAATCTCGCGGACTTGACCTTTATTGTAGCTACTGCCTGTGACCACTAGAGGGCGGACTAAGCCCCTCTGACTGTGATACAGTAGTTCTATAACACAGAGACATGTGCATGTGGAGAACGGCATGAATGTTTATTAGTGAACTTGGCCAGTATTAGAGGATTAGTGTGAACAGCTCCTGTTATTTGCCTTGTTGGTGTATTTGAACACTGACATGGTTAAATAGTTAAATTATTCTGATTATTATTATACCTGAATGTCAGTCCAATTCTGTCCTAATGTTCAGTGATATATTCAGAGGGAGGGAAAGAAAAGAAATGTTCTAAAACTCAGATTAAATCCATTTCCTCCACAAACCTTGTTGTGGTTTCAGTAATTTGAGGCCTAATTAATCTCAATGATCTGAAGACTAATGTGATCTTAATGAAAGGAAAGGAGCCTGAGAGCAGCAGCACTATGATGCATGCGATGTCTCAGAAACTCACTGAAAATAACCAAATTACATTTATTTAGATGTTTACATTCTAAAGCTCATACGCACTGATTATAAACACTGACACATAATATGTTGAAATTCTTTATTTTCACCTTTTTGTATTAAAAAGGAAGAAATTTCTCTTGCATGAGCAGAAATCTGCTGTTAAACTGGTGCATGAAAACCCACAACATCCAGACAGAACACATAGAACACAGATTTATTTCTGTCTGTTCACATCCAAACGTATATTTAGTGTCTCGTTACTCTGCACTGACTTCCTGCAGTGAAGTCACTAATTAAACGTGACATGAGCAGCCGTCAGGTCGGTTTGTGTCCTTGGATTCAGTCTCCATCAGGGCTTGCTGAGCTGCATCACGACGCTCCAGTCGCTCTGACAAACCAGGACCAAGGTTTGGTTTTCCAGCGACACCGAGTGGAGAATAAAAACCTGTTGGCTGGAGTCAGCCAGAGCAAACTGACAGGAACTGAAGACTACAAGCACAAGACAAATATGTGACGCATTGGAACATTTTCACAAAGACCCACCACTGGGAAGGTTAGCGTTGAGTTTAGTCAGGAAGTCAGGAACAGAGAAATGAGTGTTCAGAACGGTTGGATCCACTTGGAGTTGTTGTGCTGACAGAGATGGAAGAGTTAGAGACGGAGAAAAGAAACAGAAGGTGTTGGACACATATGAAGGCTGGGACAAGCAGAACAAGTCTGGTGTTAAACTGAAGCTCTAGAACTTCACTCGTTGCGATGCTGCTGATGTCGAACGGATTGTGAAAAGTTTCTTTAGTTCCTGATGTGAGGAAGAATAAAGTGTTGCTTCATTCTGTGGAACATGTATGTGGGTAGAAAAACAGGAGTGATGAGTGAACGTGATGCTTCCATGTGTCATAGCAGCAGCACTCTGAATGTTCATCACATATTCAGCACCAATACTCGCAGAATTAATACAACATTTAGTCTGATTCCTGACAACAGGCTTCATTTAACTTCAGTTTTCAGAAGAAACTTTACAAAGTTCTTCACAGGTTTAAAAAACACAAATACAACGATGATAAAGTATGACTGATGCTGGATGAAGCTGCATATCAGACAACGAAGGTCAAAGGTTCATTCGGAGCAGGAGCTTCACCGGTCTGAGAACAGGCTCTGATTTACAACCAAACACTCAAGAATCCACTGACTCAGAAACAACAGAACACAAGTCAAACCACGGCGGACATGATGAACGAAACGGTTTAGGAACAGACCAGAGAGAAACCTTCCTGTGAAGCTGCTCCATCTCTGACTGAACCACGGTCCAGCTTTTAGATTCTGATGCAACCTGCTCAAGTTTATAAAGTGAGAAAGAGAATAAAAGCAGCTGTTAAACTTCACACTGCTTATTTAAATCCAGATGTAAATTCATGGAGCCGTCACAGCTGGATCGTTTCAACCTTGAACTTCACTGTTCCAAAGAGAAGAACACTGAACACAAACAGATGTGAGCAGAAAACACATGAACATAACATCAAACACTAAAAGCCACCGAACAACCTCAGTAGAAAGAGCATACATGAAGAGATCTTCATCATCTTCATCATCTCCATCTTCATCATCAGAGTCTGGACACAGCTGCTGCTGCTGCTGATGGTTCAACCTCTGGATCATCAGGACTCCTCTCAGCACAAACACCGTCCTGATCAGCATCAATACTTCCATCTGCAGAGAGAAGAAGAAGGAACAGAGGAGATGAGTGAAAACTTTCCACGGTAACACAAGTTATTTTGAAAGTACTATTATTCTTGTGACACAAACTGTAGTTTTAAGATTATTGTAGGTGAGAAAGTAGAGGTATAAACGCCAAATATATGGTCATTTTATCAAGATAAAGTCTGCTCAAGGTTTTGCTCCGATGATTTCTGAGATGTGAGTGTCCTGGTTTGACAGCTGTGATGGCGGTCAGCGCTCACAGTCCCCGCCGAAAGCAGCCTGATGTCAGCAAGACTTTCTGAAGTCTGCCGCTGGCTCTGACGTCTCCGTAGTGGTTAAACAGGGATATACGTAGTTTAGTGGTCACACTTTGTCCTCACAGTGTCATTTGTTCATTGCTCCCAATCGATTTAAAAGAAGTTAAAGTTAATGCTGGAACTTTATTTTTATTTAGAGTTGGACTGATCGCTGCCTGAACATCTGAATTATTTTCTTGCTTTTATTACCTGTAGTACAGCCTTGTTCTATTCTTATGACTGTTACTGTGCATTAACATTTAAGCAGTGTTTTAGTGGAGGACCAGCTGGATGAACGTCCTCCTGACTGCTGGGAGACTCCCCACAACATGAGCAGCTCCACCCTGGACCTTCTGACGGAGCATCTTCAGCAGCATGAGGCTGTTTCCAGCTCCACTGAAGAACATCAGGAGGAGGAGAAGCACGACGTTCTTCATCTGTGATATGTTTTGTAACTTTTGTCCTGTTCTAAAATGAAATCCTACAAGAATAACCCTGTTTATTAATTGTTATATTTATTATATATAGTTCTTGTCTATTTAAGTATTAGAAATTCTCAACTGTATTCCAAAGATGAACTGCCTGATATGAAGTGCTGAAGCCACAATAACATTTTCCTCCAGCCTCTGACCTGTTGATCAGACACTGCTGTCAACACATTAACGGCTTCAATAAAGATTGTATAACGACCTGAGAAACCTCAACATGTATACATGTTAGAGCTGTGTTATTGTATTTCATTTAGTTTTGTTGTTTTTCACGGTAAACAGCATCAGAGTAGATCGAGTACGCTGCTGTCCCAATTGCACATAAACGACGATGCTTTCTCCCGGACGAGAATGCAAATACGGACTTGCATACTTGAGTATTAAGAAACGGCCCGTGTGTTTGCAGAGACTCTTCATCGGCTGTCAGTCGGTGCTGCAGCTCATCAGTCTAAAGAGCAGCAGGACTTGAGTCCTGTTCAGAGCAGCAGAGCAGCAGCTTCATGTCAATGTGTTGGAGTGAACACACTGAGCTCCAGGCTCACACACCTGCACACACTGTCAGCATCAGGTGTGTTTCTCTGCACATGTCACTGCAGTCCACAGTGGAAACAAACAGCAGAGCATCACAAAAGCGACTGTATTTCTTTTCACTAATAGGTTATAAAAACAATGGAGGTTTGCAAATGTGTTCCTACAAATTACTTTATTTCAATCGAAGTGCTGCAGTACAACCAGAGGGAGGTCACTGATGTGTGATGTGAGTTTGGTGGCACTATAAACAAGAAATGTAATATTATTGAGTTTCTTCAAAGCATTTCCTTTCGCCGTGGTCATTTGCTGACGGTCCCTGAGCTCCAGTCTGGCAGCCCGCTGCCCGTAAAGATCAACGTAATTCATAAAGAATGGAGGACGTCTCATTTTGGGAATAAAATGATTTTGGCCGGTTGTAGGTTGTGGTCTGTACTACAACGTTTGGAAAGAGGTGCTAATTGATTTAAAACGGCGATTCGCTTTGGAGTTATTGATGCTGCAAGTTTGAAACTTTCAATATCTTTCCAACTGTAATGAACTCCCGTTCCCACGTGAAACGTATCACAAGAAACCGATGCCATCTTGTGCACACCACTCGTATCTCGTGTGCATGAGATACTTGAGTTTTTTTTTTTTTTTCCTCCAACGTGTCCCTTCAGGGGCTACGTAGTTAAACACTAAACTTATGGTCAAATATTGTAAAAGAGTCTGGACTATAGAGACTGGATTATATCTGTAATTTAACAAAATTATCAAATATCTGTTCAACTATTTACCATTTTTAATCCCTAATACACATAATTTTTCTTTCAAATAACAGCACACATCTGTTAAATCTTGTTTTTTGTGTGATTTAAATACATTTTTTTTAAAAAAGGTTTAATTTTATTGCCAAACATTGTAAAAACAAACAAAAATCAATATCTGTAAAAGTACATTATTGTACAGGTGTAATTATTTACAGTTATATTCTGTTCTTTAACAGTTCACATTTAAATTCATGTCTTTTTGTTTTTCTGTGATTTTAATACATATAATCTGCAACTTAACAAAATGATCTGATGTCTGTAAAATAGCAGGAAATGTTGAGAGAACGACTAAATGTCATGATGCTGGTGTGAAATCAGAGGTCTGCAGCTTCAGTCACACTGATCTCAGAGCTGTGACCAACATCAGACTGATCAGC